ACTTGAGTCAGAATCGCTACCCTCCAAATTCTCATTTGATACAAATTCACGAGATTTTTGAGACATCTGTAACACAAAAATAATTAAAACATTTATCAAAGTTAAATACTCCACTTACTTTTGACTGTATATAACTCAGTATATTACTTTGTTATCTGTAGTACAAGTAAGTTTTGTCTTTAACTACAAACGCTAAAAACGATTATGATTTCAAAAAATGATTTTACTGCGCTTTTATACTCATAAATTGAGGAAAAACTTGTTAAAATAAAAATAATTACATTTGGGCGTTAGCTACATTTTGACAAGCATAACCAAAGTATTAGGGGGACATATTTTTTAAAATTATATATATGAATATATAAATAAATTTAAAATAAAAATATATAATTAATTTTTTTTTTTTAAAAAAATTAAAAGAAAAAATTAAAAAATACACAAATTTTATGTTATATCTATTAATCCATATTAGATAATTTAAAAATTCTTTCGAATATTTTTACATATTATTATTATTAAATTGATTCAATAATAATATTTTTTAAAAATACTAAATATTTTGAGAAAAATAAAAAAACGTAATTTTTTGTGTGCGTGTATGATTTTATAGTCGTAATTTTTGAACGGTAAGCAGTAACAAAAATCTGATTTCATAATTGAAATCTAGAGTAAAAATCCTATAAAATTGATACCTCACACGATACCTAGGTCTCATCATAGACCCTAGGGCCCATTTTTTTTTTTTTTTAATTTTTTTTTCGAAAATATTAACCCACCTAAGACTTAATATAAACTCATTTAGACCTTAAATAAAGATTTTAGCATTTTTTAGTGTATTTTAGATAAATTTTAATATTTAATTTTCAATTTACCCCGCTGTAGACACTTTGGTTGTTGTTAAAACACCCAAAGTCAAAACTACACCCAAAGTCGAGCCACACCTGAACGACTATTTTTTATTTTTGTGTAAAAACCGAGGCACACCCGATTTAATTGCAATTAGAAGGTGAAATTTTCTGTATATATATCGCAAGTTTAGTTAAATAAATTTATCATTTAGTTTTACAACTACTTTTGTATAACTTTTTAATATTAATAATATTAATAACTATGCCTAAAGTTAATAAAACTAAACTTCATTCATGTGATTGCTGGTACAACAGAAAACCACTTCCAAACTGGCCGTCTCCATCAAATGGTATGTATTACTAAATAATTATATATATTTAAATAATTTTGTTATATTATATTAATATTTTTTTTATTTTTCAATAGTTTGCGAAAACAATAAGGTGTATAAATGCTCCCTATGTGGATACGAGGATTGGATCATATCTGCTGTCAAAACGCACATCGTTCGAAGACATTCAAAACAAGTTCAAAAGCATTTCGATGAATTTGGTGACGTCAGAAAATTTGTTGAAGTTTGGGACCTGAAGACGGAAGCGGTGGACGACAATATTAACTTGGATTAATTTTTGTATTTTTTTATAACTTAATATTGTCTTTAAATTAATAAAATTAATTTTATTTTCAAAATTGATGTGTATTTTTTCTTAAAAAACTGGTCAAAGGAGGTAAGTGTTAAAACCTAGACAACAAACAATGATTGTAAATATAATTGTTTAATATAAAAATTAAATATTTTTTCATCTTTATTAATAATATATTTATTAACTATTAATAATTTAGTAGTTTCAATATTAATAAATTAACAACACAATAGTTAGTATTGTTAATTACAAATAAAACTTTAAAATAAAACTAAAAATTATTTTTAAAAAATACAATTATCGGTATTATTAATTTATTAATAATAATTTTTAAATTATTCATAATTAAAATTTTTAACTTTATTAAAGATGATTTTTTTAATATAAATAAATTGCCATAAAAAATATTATTCAATTGTAAATATTTAGCATGTAAAGTTACAATACTATTAAGCTTTAAGTTATTTATTATTAATAAATATTTTTCATTTTAAATTGATTAAATTAATAAAAATTAAATCTATTAATCAAACTAAATTTTTTATAAATTATATATTTCATATGTTATAAGAAATAATAATTAAAATAAAAAAATACAGTTTATTCATTAAATACTAAATAGACATTAATTATATTAATATTTTAATTTCGGGTGTAATATGTTTTATTATAATAGCCTATGGATAATGTTTAACCTGTATGTCCATTAGCTAGCTAACTGGGTAATAGGGGTTAACCAGGTCAATAATATCAGTTATAACCCGTAATAGTAGTTGACATTTATCTGACTAAACTGTGTGTGTGTGCATTAATTTGATACCAACCCCAACACACCCCCCATAGTTATGGCTACCATAATAGTATTTATCGTATTTATTATAACCCCCCCTCCCCCCCCGCCACCAACTTTACCCCCACTAACCCGATTTGTATAACAATTAATATCTAATATAATAAAAACAGTTTATTATGTTTAAAAAAAAATAAATAAATTTTTTATTTCTTTTAAGGCCGTTGACTAATATTATAACTTAAATATACTATTATTTTAAACTTTATATAATTGTAATATAAGTTACAGTTTTTTTTGTTTTAAAAAAAAATATTATCACTTTTTGTAATCAAATAATTAAATTTTATAATTGATTTTATTAATAAAAAAAACTAACTAAAAACATTATTTATACAATTAATTATTAAAAAATTAATAATAATATTAAATGCTTTTCTTAATAAAAAAACATTTAATTAGCTAATAAACTTGATTTAGAAAAATTTTTTATATAATAAAAATTAATTTCAATATAACAAAAATATTAATTAAAATAAGTTTAATTAAATAGAAGATATATTGTATTTAGTTATTTAAAAAATTTTACTAATAATATTACATAATTATACTAGTATTTTGAAGCATAAAATTCAAATAAACTGTAATTAAATTTATACAATAAATTAATAATATATAAAAAAACAATTTTACTGATTATAAATTATGTATCTAAAAAATTGTCTAAATAATTTTATAACTATATTTATTTGCTAAATTTTAAATTTATATTTGTTTAAATAGTTAAAATATTAACATATATTAATATTAATTTTTTTAATAAAAAACATTTAACATTAGTTAATAGACTTGATTTAGAAAATATATTTATATAATAAAAATTATTTATTTTTTTATAACAAAAATGTTAATGAAAATAATTTTAATTAAATTATAATAATGGTTACGAACTCAATATAATACTAAAATATAATTATTTATTAATTTAATAAAACTAAATAATTTAAATTACAGTTCTATTTAAATGTTTTAAAAAATTTTCTAATTATAAAGTAAAAAATAAATTAAATAATTAGATTTATTTTCTAATAATTAATAGTTTTGTTTGCGATAAAATTTAACTACAATATTGTAAATTAAATGAATAATATAATTATATTATTGTTTGTTATAACTGTACAGTTTATATATTGTATAATTGTTTAATATAAAAATTAAAAAATACATACAGAGTTCAGGTTTTATCCACTAATAATTATTATTATTTTTAAATTTTTAATATAAATTCGGCATTATATTTTAACTCACAGTTTTTTTTTTATTTTGTTTTTTTAATATAAATTATTAATTTTCTAATATTAAGTAGACATTAATTATGATATCCCTGTCCATAGCTAACTGGGTAATAGTTAACCGGTTAATAATAACGGTTGTAAACGTCTGAGTAGTAGTAGTAGTAGTAGTAGTAGTAGTAGTAGTAGTAGTAGTAGTAGTAGTAGTAGTAGTAGTAGTAGTAGTAGTAGTAGTAGTAGTAGTAGTAGTAGTAGTAGTAGTAGTAGTAGTAGTAGTAGTAGTAGTAGTAGTAGTAGTAGTAGTAGTAGTAGTAGTAGTAGTAGTAGTAGTAGTAGTAGTAGTAGTAGTAGTAGTAGTAGTAGTAGTAGTAGTAGTAGTAGTAGTAGTAGTAGTAGTAGTAGTAGTAGTAGTAGTAGTAGTAGTAGTAGTAGTAATTTAAATTTTATTATAACTTTTGTAAACAAAAACATTTTTATTACTTTATTTTTTTAAAATAAAAAAAACTAACTACCTATAACAACTGATAATTATTTATATAATTAATTATTAAAATAAATAATATTTATATTAATTGCTATTTAAAAAAAAATTATTATTACTTTTACGCTTATTTTAAAAAATTCTTTATAACTGTATTTATTTACTTATGTAAATAAACTGTATTTAATTTTATATACTAATAAATTTATAAAGTAAATAATAATTTTTCATATTTTTAGGGTAACTAATACAATATATTTTTAATACTTTATAGCTATATTTTTTTTACTAATTTTTAATTAAAATTTGTTTAAATATGTAAATTAATGTTATTTTTACGCTTAGTTTTAAAAAAAAACTTTATAACTCTATTTATTTAATAATTTATATAAACTGTAATTAATTTTATAAACTAATAAATTAATAAAATAAAATAATCAATTTTCTTATTTATTATAGGAAATCTCAAATTTTTAAAAATACTTCATAACTATATATATTTACAAATTTTTAAATTACTATTTGTTTAAATTGTTAAAATATTTACATAACAAATTTTTATATAAACATCATATTTTATATTTATAAAAAAAACTTAAATAATGTAGTTACACTATAAATTAAAAATATTATTTAAATGTAAATTATAAAACTTATAATATTTTACATTAATAAGTTTTTTTTATATTTAAGTTAATATTTTAATTATTATAGTAATTATTAGAAGTTTAAAACACTACTTTTTTAACGACAAAACAATAATTATAAACTAACTATTAATTTATTTATTTTTTTAAAAAGTTTTATTTATAAAAAATAGTGTAATATTTAATAAATACTGTAAAATCTATCTAAAAACTAATAAATGCTATATTACTTATAGATTATATAAATAAATCTAGTTAGACAAAAAATATAGATATAATTTTTTTAATTATTTTTAATTAACCATAATAACGTTTTCCATAACCACCTCTATAGCCGCCATAACCACGTTTGTAACCCCAACCATAACCTCCTCTATAGTGACCGCCACCACCTATATAACCGCCATAATAGACATTACGATATTTTCGTGGATAATATGACTTATAGTATCGCGGATAATGATAGCCCGTGTGTCCATAATATGAGTAACTAATGGGTCGCTTATAGATAACTGGGTAATAGCTAACTGGTCGATAGTAGCCGCCATAGTAGCCGCCATATTTGACTAAACCGTGTCCGCCATAGATACCTGAACCATAGTGTCGGCTACCATAGTATTTAGCATATTTTCTACTACCCCTACTTGTATAGGTGCTTGATACAATTGATACAACTAGTATCTATAATAGTAAAAATTAATAATTATTTATTTAAAAAATTAAAATTTTTACTTAAATTAGTTAAAAAAATAAAATTGAGTTTAACATTTGTGTAACTAAATAATATATAAGTTAATTATAGCAATATTTTTTTTTAAATAAAATTATAATATAAATTACAGTCATTTTATTCAAATTTATTGATTTTAAATATAACTGTTAATTTATTTATGTATTTTATTTATTAATTTTATACTATAATTTTATTTTGTATAATAAAACTTAATACAAATAAACTTATTTTTTAAAAAAAATCTATATTTAACTATAGATATAATTAGTTTTATTAATTTTTTTCAAAAAAATAATAATAATCTATTTTTCAAACATTTAATTAGCTAATATTTTTTACTTTAATTGATTAAAAAATAAAAATTTTGAAACGCCGTATAGCTAATTAATATATAAATTAATTATAGCAATATTTAATTAAATAAAATTATAATAAAAATTACAGTTTTTTAATTTAAAATAATGATTTTAAATATAATTGTTAATTTTTTTATTATTATGTATATTATTTATTAATTTCATTATATAATTTAATTTTATATAATAAAACTTTATAGAAATAAACATATTTTTTTAAATCTAAAAAATATAACTATTATTTATTAGCTATGATTATTGCATAAATAATTATAACATATATATTATTTTTAAATATTTAATAGTATTTTTGTATTAATAACCAGTAACTATTGTTTTTTAAATAATCATTTACAGGACTACACTAATATATATATATTGTTTAAAAATTAATTACAAAATTATGCTATAATTTTAATGATAATTATTTTTAACATTTTATTTTCTATATAACTATATATTAGTTATTAATTTTTGTTAAATTCATGACTAATATAACCCTCAAATAAAACTAAAATATTTTTATCTTAAAAAAAATAAATACTATTATAAAACAAAACTTTAAATAAAAAATACTTACCAATAATAATATTGCATAATTAGTATTCATTTAATTACGTGATAATTTTTTTTTTAAATAATGAAAATGACCATGTACAGTTTTAACAATGTGTTTTTTCCACCGATAAAATACAATGTAATTAATTACTGTAAAAAAATTTATATGATTTAGTAATTAATAATAATTAAGTTGAAAAAAATAATTTAGTGTATAAAACAATAATCTTATCAAATAATAATAATAATAATGTAATATATTTTATTACTATCTATTTAGTCAATATTAATCACGATATTATAATAAAATAACATTTATTAATGATTTATTAAAAATATTTATAATATTAGAAATTATATTTTATTATTACTAATACTTATTTCAAATAAACTTATTTTATAAGATTATGTGTTTTTATTTATATGATTATTATATATAAGTGATTTTTATATAAATACCTGTATATTATTTTATTGATAATAATGCTAATAATAATAATAAATTAAAATAAAATTAAACTAATATTTATAATCCTTGTTATTATTATTAAGTGCATTAAATATATCATATGTTAGAAAATGAAATAAAAAAGTTATTGAAAATTTACTTATAATTTACTTTATTTTATTGATTTATTTTTTTTTGTTGTTGATTACATTGATATTGAACATTTACGCATTTAATATGATTTTTAACTTAATTATTTGATCAAATAAAATAAAAAATTTTTAAATATAAAATATAAGATACTAAAAAAGTTACTTTTATTGAATTTTGATTTTATTTGTTATTATTATTATTATTAGTAGTAGTAGTCTAAATAACTTAAAGATGTTTAGATTATATATATATATATATATATATATATATATATATATATATATATATATATATATATATATATATAATTAATAAAATTATAATTTAATTTAATTTTTAATTTGCATTGACAAGTTTATATATATATTTTTTAATTGTGTTTATTATTGTTATGTTTTTATATATGTAGATTATGTCTATCAATATTACTACAGTTTATGCATTAATTTTTTTTTGCATATATATATGCAAATATATTAGTAAATTATTATCATTAATAGTCTATGACTATATAAAACTAATAATAATAATAACTGATTTTCAATAATTTAAAAATTATATGTCAAGGTTAACAACTTTAAATTATAACTGAGATATTGATATATAGATAAAACAATTATTATTATTATTATTATTATTATGTTGGTGGATATTTTAATATTTATTTTATTTTTTCCAAAATAATAATAATAAATAGTTTAATTTTTGTTACAGATTATTTGCACACAAAAAAAATCAATAGAAATATTTTAATAATTACTAATTATATATTAATATTATTGTCTACTTCAATAACCATAATTAAATTATTAAATTAAACTATTAAATATACAAAATATTTCCAAAATAATACAACTATTTGTAATTAATAAATTCAATTTTTATTTATTTACATTTAATATAGTTTATTTAATAAATAATATTTTTTTTAGTAATGATTAATTTTATTTTTTATAATTTTCTAAACAAATTACAGCTTATCAATATATATTGAATATACTGTATATATATATATTATAATTATATAAAAATGTTCAACTTATTAAATCAAACAATTTATTTAATTAGTAAGATTTTTTTTTAAAAAATCATAAAACTACAAAATTTTTATTAACTATTTAGTAATAAATAAAAAAATGTAATAAAATTATATGTTCATGAATTGTTTGCAATAAATAATAATAATATTTTGATTTATAAATTATTTATGAAAAATTAATTAAAATTTACAGTTATTTATCTTACACTACAAAATAATTTTGTGATCTTTAATACTAAAATAAATAGCAATAAATCTTATTGACCGAGCACAAATTTAAAATATAATATATTCAAATATTCTAGTTTATTACGTTTATTAATTTTATAATTTTAAAATATAATTTATCAAAAAATTGTTGAACTATTTCTAACGAATTTTTAGTTAATATGATATTGTATATAGATAAATTTAAAATATTATTTTTTATAATATACAGTTTATTTTTAAAAAATTTAAAGTTTTGTAAATATTAATAGTAATATTTTTTTGTTGTAAAAAATATTAAAAATACTCAACTATTATAACTAATCAAAAATTTTTTAAAGATTGTTTACTTGATTATTGAATTTTAATTAATTTGTCTAAATATACGGTTTACTAAAATTTATTAAAAATGTTTATTTTTACAAAATAAATTTAGCTAATATTTTTTTTTCAAACGTTTAACTATAAAAAAAATAATATTAACTGCATATAGTATTAATATATAATATTAAAATAAATAATATCTATATAACCGGGAGCATGCTTATAAATAGTTATAAATAAAAATACATTTAATTTAGATTAATAATAAATTAATAATATTATATATTTTAAATATTTTGAATTATATAAAAATTATTTTTTTACTCTACTATGCTAATTACTTTAAATATATATTAACATATTTATCCAATAATTATTTTGTACACAAATTTACAGTTTAGTAAAATAATTTTTTATAAATTTAATATTATTTTAATTATTTAATAAAATTAATACGTTTGCATAGTTTAGATACAACAATTTATATTATAGATTAATTTTAAATTATTTTTCAAACAAATAACAATTTTTCAATATATATATATCTAAATATCCAATATAAATTATTAAATACTTATTTTAATTTGTAAAATTAAAAAAATCATAAAAAACTAAAAATTTTTGTTAAATATATACTGATCTATAAAAAAAATGTAATAAAATTAAACGCCGACATTTTCAACCTAAAAATAATATTAATATTTTAATTCATAAATAAATTAAATAATTGTTTTTCTTACAAACTAATTTATACAAATGCAAATATGATTAATTATTGTTTTATAAATTTAAAGTATGTGTCAAATATTTAATATAAATGTAATATAATAATAATAATTAATAATAATTTAATATAATAATAATAATTAATAATAATTTAATATAATAATAATAATTAATAATAATTTAATATAATAATAATAATTAATAATAATTTAATATAATAATAATAATTAATAATAATTTAATATAATAATAATAATTAATAATAATTTAATATAATAAAAAAATTTTAAGTGATACATTTAGTACCTTCTATAAAATTAATTATATATTAAATTTATATATTATTTAATAATAATTGTAAGTAAATTACAGTTTGCTTAAATTATATAATAACATACAAATTATACTAATTATATAATTTTTAATCATTATATTTATAGTAAGATATTTAATAATAATATAATAAAATTGGATTATTGAGTTTAACAATTATTAATAAATATCATTACACTAATTCACTAAATGATAGTATTTATAAATATAAACATTTTTTTTAAAAAAAAATTTACAAAATTATCTAAAAAGTTTGAGTATAAAATTTAGGCACTGACTGAAAAGTAGACATGTTAGACTAATAGTGTATATTTTAATTATATTAAATACAACGTCTACCATGTCTACCATGTCTACCATGTCTACCATGTCTACCATGTCTACCATGTCTACCATGTCTACCATGTCTACCATGTCTACCATGTCTACCATGTCTACCATGTCTGTCTACCATGTCTACCATGTCTACCATGTCTACCATGTCTACCATGTCTACCATGTCTACCATGTCTACCATGTCTACCATGTCTACTTTTCAGTCAGTGCCTAAAATTTAATATTAAAAAACTAACAATAAAAAATGTATTTTTTTAGTAGTATATAATTATATATTTTAATTTATATATTATTTAATAAAATTGTAAATAAATTACAGTTTACTTAAAATATTATTATTATTATTATTATTTTTGTTTAAATGTCTAACTTTCAATTCATACAATGGTTTTATAAATAAATTATATTATTATTATATATTTTTTTCTGTGTAAACTATATAAACTTTATATACTAAATTATTACATAATAGATAATCGTATACTAAAACATTATAACAAATTACTAAATAATTTATATTGTTAAGTTTTTTTAAAAATCAAATTATATCCATCGACCATTTATCTAACATCTAACTTAATTTAACAAAATGATTTTAATTACTATATAATTAGTATCTAATTATAGTTAAGATATATTATATAATTAAATTTAATCCTAATAACCTATTAAATATTTTATAATGTTACTAATTCATCAATAATATTAATATATAATAATATTTTATTTCTACTAATTGTATATTTATTATTAAATGTATTATTGTTTTTTTTTATTAATTTTATAAGTTATAGAATAAAATTTTTAAAAAAAATGTTCAATAATTATTAATTTTGTATTACTATGTATTATTTTATAAATTATTTTTTTAAAAATTGCAAATAAATTACAGTTTGCATAATGTTTTAAATTTAAAAAAAATTGTTTTTTTGTAATTTTTTAATATAAAAATTTGCAATTAATATTTTTTAAAAAAAAATATTGATTGTAAACATAAAAAATATATAGTAATTAAAATTGTTGAAATGTATTATTTTTAATTTTATAACTTTATAAATTTATTTTTAAAATAGTAAAATATTTAAATTTTAAATGATTTTCCTAATTTCTAAATTTAAATAATTTTTTACATTGTATTATCAAAAGTTTATTAAAAAGTTTACTTTATTTGTATTTTTTATAAAATCTAAATTTAAGAATTATAATGATATTATTTTTTAAGAAATTAACTAATTTTTTAATTCAATTAGCTTTTATTTTTAATTCATAATAATTTTATTTTATTAACTATTTACATAAATATTGTCTAATTAATAGCTATATTATTTTTATTATTTCAATAATTGTTTTAATTACTAATATGTAATAAATATATGCATATTTTTTGGTAAAATATATTAACAATTATGTAGTTTTTAAAATTATTAATAATATATTAGTGATTATATAATTTTCATATATATATATTGGAAAATAATTTAAAAATTTTGGTAATAAAATTCAACTAATAATAGTTTTATGATTTATATATTAATATATTAAAATTTTAACAGTTTGCTTTAATTAATTATAAAATAATATATTTTAATTAGATTTTAGTATATTTGAACATAAATAAAATTATTATTAAATTTTAATTAAAAAAAAATAACTACATACATTATTACGGTTTTAATTTAACATTTATTTAATTCAAGTAAAGTTTAGTTTTTTTAATATTTATTTCAATTTAATAGCTTAACTTAAAATAAAAAATATATTTTATATATAGGTAAATAAAGTGATCATGCTATTATTCAAAATATTATATACTTATTTAGTTAAATTTTAAATTATAAAAATCTAATGTTTTTTAAAAAATATAATCTCTTATAAAAGAGTCTATAGGTAATAATATTTGTTTAGTAAATAAATTAAATTAAGTATTAATTTTAAAATTACAGTTTTTTTTAAAATAATAATAATATATATATATATATATATACAGTATAAATAATTATTTTAATATTATGCAAATATATTTGAAATATGACTAATTTGCATTTATCTTGCAATTTTAAATTATTATCAATTTTTGTTGTATGTATTTTACTTAAAAAATATTAC